TCGGCCTTCCTAAGTTCCCGATCACACACTGAATCGCCCCTCGCTGATGGGGTCTTTCTAATGCCGAACTTGAGCTTTTCGGAGGCAGACTGGGTGCTTATGTGGGGCCCCTCATGAACCTCCAAAAAGTCCGAAACTCACCAACAAAAGGTGAAGACAGTGTGATAACCGGGAAAAGAACAGCTCAAAAGATCCCAGGCTCTGCACAGAGCCGAGGCAAAGAGGTTCGGATTACCTTGGAAAAGGTTGGCGGTACTTTGAAGGGTTGTTCCCTACCCTACGAGCCTTTTCAAGTGGGAAATGGGCGGATCTCGAGAAGAACTTGGTCAGTTTCAATGAGACCTTCGAGTAGTGAGAACTTTCAAAGCTCAAAATCGACAATCGATCGATGTATAGATAGGACGGCATCCTATAGACTGACTCCTACTCTACAAGTCCTTTTGGGTGGGAAATGGGCGGGTTTTGAAAGGAACTTCGAGTAAGGAAGAGTTAGAAAAATAAAAATCGATTATCGATCGATGTATAGATAGTTTATAGTGCGTAAACGCGCATATTATTTGCAATGTGGTCGCTGAGTCAGCCGTCTTTTGTGCGCGTGACTCATCTGGACAAGATGTACGACGAGCTGCACGGCCAGCCAGCACTGCAATACCGTCCGTCGAACCCCAACCATATATCGATCGCTTCCAAACGAAATTGATTCTATGGCTATTGATCGATTGATTGATCATGATAAGTGGGAGGGAATATGCGGAAGCTCAAGTGGACTCGTCCTTACTGGGGAATGAAATTTTCAAATGTCGGTAGTTTTAGATCAACTAAGAGCAAAAAAATATGTGTACATACCATTCCTTCGAGTTCTTGAATCCGATCAATTTTCTTCTGTCGACATTTTGTGGCTGCAGCTCGATTCCGGGCACGTTTTCGGTCAAGTTTTCGCTTTTCCTGTTCATCCATCACCAACCTAAATTGGGCATAATCAGTTGGAAATGGTGGGTGACATCAGGAACTGAT